GTTAAGACAAGCTTCTTTACCAGTCGGTGATTTGAAACACCACGCCTTACAGTCTCCTCAAGTTATTTACACACCGCCACCTCAACCAAAATGCCAACCAACCATACAAACTGTTCATTCTCGACCAATGGAACGTCCACGTCTCATGATAGGAACAAAAGTCAGTAGTGACAATGACACGCTGTCTTCTGCTTCACCAACAAGTCCTGGATATTCAGCTCCTGCATGGGGCCAGCAAAAAGTAAATCGACAGTCAAGTTTACAAGAGGACTATTCACATTACGAAAATGGGGACAGATACAGGATACTGACAGCAAGAATAAAAACCCTCCTCCCCCTCCTCAGAGGTCTAGCAGTCATATAAGATCCAGGCAAATCTATGGCCAATCTCTGTCCCCTCCACCTCAACAGAAGGCCCCCATTTCACAAAGTTTAAGCCAGCCTGCTGTGTCACCTACAACACAGTCACCTGCACATTATGGTTACCATTGGCAACAGTATCCACAGCAACAGCTTGTATCTTTGCCTCAGCATCAATCACATCCAAACTATTATCAGCAGTCTTCTCCTTATCAACAAAAACATCCAGGAATACCACAACAGAATGCAAGTCCACAAAAAACAGGGTATCATGGTACCAAACAACAGAGTCTACCTCGTGATCACCGAGACACTCAGAAAGTGGAAAAACATTATCCAAGTTATGCCACACCTCCAAGACCGGAATATGCAGCACACCATCAAGGAACTTCACAAAATATGCCTTATAGACAATGGGATGTTCATCCAAGCCAAAGAAATCCAGTTGACACTGCCCATAGTAATACCTCATCACCAAAATATGACAGTGAATCTGCTCCTGGTTCACCACTTTTCACTGCCAATTCTGGAAGAAGTCCATTATTATCACCAAACATTAGTGATTCAACCAATACTACAACAACAACACCAATTACAACAAGCTCATCCCCTGCCAATGAAACAATGTTTTGTCTAGTTAAGAAATCGGGACAAGAGGATCAACAACGTCCTTCATTTCGCAGTTCAAGAGATCCCAAGAAACAGTCTCGTTCTATCATAGAAGTTCAGCCTGGAGACAGTGCGACTAGTAAAGAGACTGTTTATGACAATTTACAACCAGGTTTTCAACCAACTGAACGGGATGACCCATTCTATTACATGAACACAGAGGCTTTACACAAGCGAGAAAGAGGATTGAAAGGTCTGGGTTTATCAGAGAGTGACCCAGCTTGGGACGTTCATATCAGAAAAAGAGAACGTAGACGAGAAGAATTAAGGAGATCTTCATCACAGGAGCGCAAGCCAGATCGGTTATCTCTTGTAGAGAGGGTAACTCATTCAGAACCGGAATATGCAAATGTTCCAATAACACCGGACAGAAAAACTAAACGTTCTAGTGGAAGGCGTAGTCGTAGCCCTAGAAGATCAAAAATTGAGGAGTTCTGGCCCAAAGAAAAGGGTTGGTGAATCGCGAGAAAATCTAGTTAGTCTAAAAAATGAAGTACCTGAATATGCTAATGTATCAATGGAAAAGAAACAGAAATGTGAAAAGAAGAAAGTCAAAGAGGAAGAAGAACCAGTCTATGCAAATGTTCCAATTAAAGGAGATCGGCGCAGACATCATAGTGGACCTTCTAGCTATCCTAAACGAATAAATGCCAATTCACCAGAGAGAGTGAATTACTTGAGTCCACCTTTAAGATATGATAGAGTAGCTATCAGTCCTATACACTGGAGTGATCGAAAGGAGCAAATGTCCCCTGTTGACGTGGAGGTGGATTTAGTTAGAGGAAGACCACCTGCTAGTCCAAAGAAACCACCAGATAATCTAACAATTAGACAACCTCTTGAGAACCCAATACTAGATGTAAAACCTGAATCTGATAGCCCTGTATTGAAAAGGACTCCTGAAGCCATGGCAAAAAAAACATTCAACAGTCCATTCTCTTCTTTAACAAGACGTTCAAATGGTCACAGTACTATGCAGTCCAGTACTCATTTGCAACAACCTTCGGAAAAGATACAGAAAAAACAAGATAGCCCTAAGCCGAAGAAGCAAACAGAAAAACTTGTAGTAGGAAAACCCCAAGAAAATTCAGTACCAAAGTATGACAGTATGCCCACAGTGCCGCTAAGTATAAAAGAACAAACATCAAGTCTTCAGAAAAAGAGACCTGACAGTCCCAGCCCTAAAATGAAGAGAAGAATGATAAAACAGAGTCCTTCTCCTGTACGTAGACCAAGACCTAAGAGTTTTGAGAGTGAAGACAGTCTGCCAAGGAAAGAAAAATTAGAAGACAGACCTGTTAGTGTTCATGGAGAGGTTTTAATGCCAGGTGTAGTGCCACCTGCAATTGAATATCTAAGAACTAAGCGTGGAAGAGGCAAAGTACGTAGTGTTAAAGAACGGCATCAAAGAAGTCATAGTGTTGGACCTGTCCAGGGGTCACATACAGATTTGTGTTACTCTGCAAGTAATCTTGAACATTATGCCCGAGATAGGTCAGATATTAAGGATACATTATCACGTTCTTGGGGCATGGAAATGTTTGCAAAAAGAACAATATTTCCACAGCTTCTGGAAGGTATGGATTTGAAACAAAATGAAGGAATATCAAACCAAGCATATGAACCAGATACGCTTACTCGTGATGCCATCTGGGAAAAATGTGTTGAGACAGCTGACAGAATGGCTTTAAATCGAAGTGGATCTTATGAGAATGCTTTAGAAAAGGGTTTTATTTCAAGCTCATGCTCAAGCCCTGAATGCCGTCCAAAAAAAGAGCATTCAAAAAATGGTAAACTATATTATGTTCAGTCCTCTGAGCAGGATGACGTTCCATTAGCTCTTAAGAAATATTTAGGTAAAAAACCTGCTAGACATCGTCGTAGCCAAGACTTTGAAAAAGCACTGAGAGAACTTGACGAAATGTATGCTAAGTTAGATTTGGAAACTGATCATTTGTACCGACCAAGACCAAGAGGAAATCGTAAAAGTAGGTCAACTGAGATAACTCTTCCTCTGCCAACAAAAACATCCTCTCTGAAAATGAACAAAAATGAATCTCCATCACAGAAAGCAAAACGACGAGCTCGTCGTGAGCGTCCACATAGTTACACTGGAGGTTTAACAACCAGTGATGACTCGGATGATCGTCATCAAATCTATAATAGATTCCGACATGTAAAAGCAAAATCTAGTGGAAAACCAATCCCTGGATTTCCACTGACAAAACTGTCACACAAATATGAACGATTTTCACCCAAAATTATGGCTAAAAATAGCTCAAGTAGTGATGATGAATACCAACCTCTACATAAGTCCCTATCACAAGGAGCACTTAATAAACACCCTGACAGATCAAGTAGCCCAAGTCCTGAAAAAAGATTTCAAAGGACAAGAAGAAGTAAGAGTGCTGATAATTTTGAAAAGAGTATCAAAGCTGTTACATTTGCTGAACCTCCTAAACGACCCATTGGGGATCTTGCTATTCCAAGTGATATAAGCATCTCCCAAGAAGACTCACCTCCAGTTTATCTCAAAATGCATCAGAGACAAGAATCTTCTGAAGTAATCAGTGGAGGAGATGATTCCGACTCTATGTGTGCCCAGAGAGGATCCACCGAACATCACATCTCCTCATCTGAACTTGATGATGCTGATGATGAGGGTGATAAAGAATTACTTAGCAATAAAGAGTTACCTAGCAACCCAGTAAATTCTTCAACATTAAGTACAATAAATGATGAAGTTTTGTCTAAATCATTTGATGCGCTGCAGACAGAGTACAATGTACAAAGTGATATTACTGAAAGATTTGTGCAAACTCAGCAACAATTGACATTGAATGAAAGGAAGGTTTCTCTTTTAGATGAAGCATCCATCCCAATGGAAGATGATTCCGAAGATTCAGAAGTGAAAGCTTTGATGGAACCTTCTGTGAAATCTGACAAGTCTAAATATAAACCTGTTCAGGTCAAGCCGTTCTTCAAATCTGATAGGAAAAAGGGGAAATCGACTCCAAGCCGAAAAAGGATGAAGAAAGCAAAGAAAGGTAGACACACTTAATCCATGAACATTTTGTTAGTTGTAGTAAGTAGCAGACAGTTACTAGTCTCTTACTTGGTATTATAACATTTGGGTTATGGACATCACTCCTGTTTGAAATACAGTTGTCTCATTTATGACCTTTGACCCAAGCAATGATGACCTGCGTCACAAGTAAGTGACAATCATAAGTGGACATTTCAACAATTATTTCATATCATTGTATCATACAAAAATATCAGCCACTGGTAGATAGCTTTTGTGAATTTAAATTTATAGTTGCTTTTAGCATAAACCAAAATTTGTGTTAATTTTTTCTATGATTTGTATTCATACATAGCTGTTTGCCATTTTTCATGTGCACATCCTTTCTCCTCTGCAAAAAAGACTCAAAAAAGTCAATAGTTATTTAAGTTTTTAGTGTTTGACTGTCCACTATTTAAAACACTTCGGATAAGAACAATTCATCTAACATATAACTGTTGCATGTACTGCTACTGTAGAATGGTAATAGAATGAACAGCCTTGCTATTGAAGGAAACCTGCAACCTCCCTCTGATACAACATCATCACATAGACTAGAAGTCTCTTTCACATTGAATGACTCATGTTTCAGGGATTTTCTGCTCTGCCATGTTAGAATTCATAAAACAGGATCAGTTATGAAATAGATTATTTGCATGTATTTCACACTTCCTTGCCTGGATAGGTTGGTGTCTAAACATTTCCCTTTGAAATAGTATGGAGAACATTATGTGCTGGAGTCATATGCACGAACTAGATTTTTTTTAATTTAACAAAGTAAATTTTTTTAGTATCATTCGTCTTTATATGCAAGTAAGATCACAGAAAAAAGTGAAAGGTGTCACTTAATTAGCTAGATGTATAGTTTGGAAGTTAAGTCTGGATAACCAATGATTTATAAATATATTTGCATACTGAGTTCTTCATTGCGTTTTCACAGCAAATTCTCATACTGAGTTCTATTGCTTTAGTTATACTGAGTTACATTGTATTACAGAGTTATTGCACATTGATTTTCATTGAGTTATCGCATTTAGCGCTCACACTGACTTAATCTGAGCAATCTGACTGAGTTTTCATATTGAGGTATTTTACTGAGTTCTCACACTGAGTTCTCACACTGGGATATCATATCGAGTTATTAGACTGAGTTATCAGACTGAGTTATACTGGGTTATCACACTGTGATATACTGAGTTCTCATACTGAGTTATATGACAGGGATATCATACTAAGTTATCACACTTGGATAACATACTGAGTTATTAGACTGAGTTATACTGGGTTATCACACTGTGATATACTGAGTTCTCATACTGAGTTATATACAGGGATATCATACTAAGTTATCACACTGGGATATCACACTGGAAATTATACTAAGTTATACTGAGTTCTACTGAGGTTACTGAGTTACATTATATCATAGAGTTATTGCACATTAGATTTTCATTGAGTTATCACATTTAGTGTTCACACTGACTTTATAATCACATAAAGTTGTCATACTGAGTTAATTAACCTGAGATAGCATACTGAATTCTTACTTTGAGTTCTCACTGAGTACCCACAGACTTTCTACACATTTACAAATAAGCATGAAAATCCCCATATATAGTTTTAAAATGTTAAATGTTAAATTAATTCAAATATGTAAAAAATCCATCCATACATTATGACTAACTTAAAACTTAATTTTCCATCACCATGTAACAATCCATCACAAACTACATGCCTCTATATTGCTGAAATTCACCAACATGAGAAACTATTTTTAAATTAGCTGATTTTGTACTTATTTTCAACATTTGTATAAATATTTTAATATTATATTAAGCTCCTTACCTGTTGTCAGTTCAGTAATTGTGTGTATTTAGTTACATCACTGACTCAAAGGTTACTGCCAATGGGTATTTTAGGTAACACCCT